TCCTCCTCCTCCTCCTCCTCCTCCTCCTCCTCCTCCTCCTCCTCCTCCTCCTCCCTGCTGCCAGTAAGTTAGGAAACCCATGCCTGTCATTTAATTTTCATTCAAAAAGATAGATCACATGCCATGTCAGTAAGAAACTAACAGAATAAAAAATTGTGGAAGCTATAAATTGGGGAATAGCTATAAATAGTTTTATATAAGAAATAAGACTTCCCCACAATTGTTGAACAAACGTATGAACATGTAGAAAAAAAATAATATAGACTAAAAGTACCTATGTCTGTGGAGAAATTCCCAGGCAGTTATCCATCTGTCTCTGTGACTCACTTGACAGTGGAGGTGAGTGAATTGTAAATACCATGGGCTCATGCTTGTGTATTCCCTGATGAGTTTTCCACTGTTTCTTGTGTCTGTCCTCAGCGGGTCATTGTGGCTCTCCAGACCCCATTGTGAATGGCCATATCAGCGGTGATGGCTTCAGCTACAGAGACACCGTGGTCTACCAATGCAACCCTGGCTTCCGGCTTGTGGGCACCTCTGTAAGGATTTGCCTGCAGGACCACAAGTGGTCGGGACAGACCCCTGTTTGCGTCCGTGAGTAGAGTTTGTGAAACTACCCTGAAGACCACTTTTCCTCATTTTTTCTGTGTAGTCATTGTTCAAACATGTTTCCCCTTGTGAGTCAATGGGATGGGTGATCTTTCCCTCTCGCTGTCCTGTCAGAGTTCAAGCCTGCCATGGTAGCTTTCCCTTTCCAGTATCTTTTGTACTGTCCCCCTAGATGCTAGCCCCCTATTGCTTCTCTCATCAATTCACTAAAAGGCATTTTGTGACTGATGTCATTGGATATTCAGGATGAGGAACAGTGCCGTTAGAACAGGATGTAGACACTCTCTTGTTGCCATATATTGTCTGATATTGGGGTTTTATACAGAATAAAGAGTTTCACTAGTGGTCCTTTATACTCAAAAGAGATGTTTACATGCTGTGCAAAGCAACAGCTTCCAAAGTGAACACTGTGTTTATAGAGGTTCCCCATTCTCGGTGCAAGCTTCCCGTCAAGCCACAGCATCCTCATACAGTCCTCGCTCCCTCATGAATTAAGCAGAGGTGCTGACCTCTCTCAGTAGTAGCCGTGCAGTCTCCCATGGTGCTCTGGAAACGCAAAGTCAGAGAGGCAGCTTAGAAGGAAGACGATGCAGACAAGATACATGAGGAGGAAAATGGCTGTCTGTGGCCATAGCGGGTTCCTTTGAGAGCATCTGTGATAGGCCCTGCCTGGCTCTGTGTGGTTGCTACATGGACCCTGACAACCGGGGTAGTTCCTCATACCTCATAGGGTCACATGATACGGATCACCGAAAAGGAGAACTTTGGCACGTGTACATATATTTTTCTAATTCCATGATTAACTTAATACTGGAATTGTTTATAATTTGAAGTTGAAAACAAATCTTCAGGATGATTCCAAATAAAAGCCTCAGGGTAGTAGCTGGTGCATACCAAATGAGAAATGCTCAAAATCCTTGATAAAAAGAAGCTCTTTAACTTGTCTTTGGCTGCTCTGTTGCCAAGTCAGTTGCCATTCAGGTGGTTTGAGTAAACAGCCTTAGTCCTGAGGTGAGGGAACCAGGCTATCCTGGTAGAAGTCATTCCTGTCATTATAACAAAAGCTGTAATTCTACACATTGTTCCACCTCCCAGATCTTTCAAACCAGAGCAGCACCCTCTGTGTCTCTAGGAAACCCTTCCATTCTTGCCCTTTTCATGTCAGCAAGTTTGCTCTCAGTGGCTCCAGGTGGGAGTGGTACCCTGTTTAATGTGGCCAATGATCTAGACCTTGTTCCCGCAGCCATCACATGTGGACATCCTGGAAACCCTGCCCATGGCCTCACCAACGGCACCGAGTTCAACCTGAATGACCTTGTGAATTTCACCTGCCATACGGGCTACCTGCTGCAGGGTGCCTCCCGAGCCCAGTGTCGGAGCAATGGCCAGTGGAGCAGCCCCTTGCCTATCTGTCGAGGTAGGAGAGGTGTCTGGGAAGGGGATATTTTGCCCTAAGGTACAGGCAAAGTGAAAAGCTTACACAAAAAAGACACATACACACACAATGCACACACACACACACACACACACATGAAAGCACACTTACACTCGACCTGAATGAACTATTCCAGATGCTACTTTTTAAAGTTACTACACTGCTCAGAAACTGTTCTACAGAACACAGGGGTCCAGATTGTTGTACATATTCATAGGTCACACTAAAGGAGTGTTTTATATAGTTCAAGCCCTGAAGACTCTCCTTCACGATCCCAGGGTATGCCATGGAGTGCCCTATAGATCACAGGATCTTCTAACTGTCCTTTGTCTGCTCAGGGGATATGGAAGTGGTGTTTCTTTGTTCAAGGGACCATTTACTTCATCTTGAATTGAGCATGTCATACGAAGAAGCACTGGCCTGGGGTACAAGTGTTTATTCTTCGTTTTGCAAACCATATTTTAGGTTCATTTGGTTGCCTGTGGCTAGGTCATCCTTTCCAGATAAAAGTTTGGTTTACAACTTGGTTATAGAAACAGGGTACAGTGGGGCTTTAAAAAATAACCTCCTCGGATCGACGAACATTGATTTAGCTCAAGGAAACCAAAGCTTTTATTCAAAAACTCACGGGTTTCATGAAATTCTGAGAGCGTTCTTCCATTGTGCTGAAGGGGGCTTGATGAACCCCACCTCTGCCTGGGCTTTCCCCCATCCCCACAAAGGAATCAAATGCATATAATGCAGGAACAAGTTTGCCTTCAGCTTCCAGAACTTATCATGGATTCTGTCCACAGCTCTTTTCTGAGCCAGAAATATCTGGAAAGGGTGCTCCGTAGCAATTGTCCCATTCACTGACATGGAGTGGAAGTGTGAGGTAATCAGGCCATTTTCTATTCTGCACCTGAGGATGCCTACTGCTAACTCCTCCCAAGGTGCCTATGGGCCTTTGGGCTAATGGAGGTCATTCAGCATAACCAGAGCGTGTCCTGTACTGCTGAGACTGCCTTCCCCTCTCCTCCTGAGGCAAAAGGGTTCCCATCAGAGATGACCCAACCTACATTTCCATGAGGCGTTGATAGAAAAATCTGCCATCTTTGGCTGTATCTGAGGTGTATTGATAGCAGCATTCCTTTAGAGGTGCATATTAATATGTGCAGGTGGGTGTGGCCAAATACTAAGAGTGTCCCCAGATCTCAAACCCTGTACTTGAACAAAAATATTCAAATCAGCGCCAGCCAGCTCCATTTCATCATTTTTAGAATGTAAGAACTAGGTGACAAGAATGATTTAGACTTTATGTAAAAGAAGTCTATTTTTAGGAAATAGTAGATTGGCCCCATAACTTTGAAATGACAGTGGTAGCCGATCTGATGCTTGACGACAGGTCTATAACAAAGTACAAGTACAATAGGGGGAACCAGGAATTCACAAGGAGGCTCCCAGATCAACTTCTCCCTTTGTGAACTGTCGAAATTGATTTAGAATTTACTTTCTTTTACACTTTGGCCTAGGGTTTTCTTATTATTTTGTAACTTATGGCTTTGGGTTTTTTTTTATTCATTGCATATTTATTGTTCAGGACACTGCTTATATAAGGACATTTCACAAACTCTATACTGTATTTTGAACATATTTCCTTATGCCCCACCCTTTGAGCTCCACCCTCTCTTCTTTTTGTCCTCTGGATAGTCTCATACATGCTTTCCATTCATATATACATACGTGTTTTTATGTGCCCATGTGGAATTTAGGGTCTACAAATGAGAGGAAACAGATATTTATCCTTCTGAGACTTATTTAATTTGCTTAATATGGCTATCTACCATCGCCTCCCCCACACAAGTTGCATGGCATTTTTCTTTATTATGACTGAAGGAAATAAAAGCTTTATACATGACATGTTTCTTTTTCTAGTGGTTAACTGTTCCGATCCCGGATTTGTGGAAAATGCAGTTCGCCACGGGCAACAGAACTTTCCAGAGAGTTTCGAGTATGGGACAAGTGTGATGTATCATTGCAAGAAGGGGTTCTACCTGCTGGGATCTTCTGCCCTGACCTGCATGGCAAATGGCTTGTGGGACCGCTCCTTACCCAAGTGTCTGGGTGAGTGAGGCTTCTCCTGTGCCACTTGGCCCAGAGCCACAGGAAGCACCAGCAACAGAAATGTATTCCCATACGGTCAAGTAAACATTACATTTTAGCTTCTTCTCCCTCTTCTATCACTGTTTCTGCCAATCATTATGATGGATCTGCCAGAAGGCACCAAATCTAACTTAAATGAGTTTAAGATGGGAGGTGAGGAACCCTTCCCTCTGCTCTGTATAAACACCTGTCTGCCTGCTTTACTCCGTGACACAGCTTTCCCCTGTAACCTTTCATCATGGTGGCCCCCTGTCTGCCTGCTTTAGCAGTAGCACAGGCTTACCTTCCATTAGGGTGGCCATAAATCTCAGAGTTTGTGTGCCCCAGCCTTACTCTCTGAAGTTCTAGGTTCAGAAGTATCAGCCTAGGCTCTGATAGTCTCACCCAGCATCTATGACTGGGAATTGCCAGAGAAAATGGGCCTGGCTGCCCTGGCCCTTCCGCTATGACCAACAGTGGCCATAAGTCATAGACAGCATCAGACAAACCTCACATGAGAACAGATGAAGACCTAAATGACTACCAAGGCCCCAAAGAATTTGTTATCTCTTCAACTTAGAAGATGAACAAGGATGTGTCGGTCTACGCATGTCCCTATACTCTGAGGTTTTTGGTTTTGTTTTTTTTTTTTTCCTTGAAAACAGAACAAAATCAGAGAGTTCTGTAGCATGAAAAAGAATTGTCTTCCAAATTATTCTGTACATTTAGAAAGTATCACTGTCTTTGAGCCTCTTAAGTTAGGAGGAAACAAAGCAATATTTAAAATGAAAAGTGCCAATGCCATGCAGTTTTATCACTACTGCTCTGTAGTATAGCTTGAGGTCAGGGATGGTGATTCCCCAAGAAGTTCTTTTATTGTTGAGAATAGTTTTCGCTATCCTGGGTTTTTTGTTATTCCAAATAAATTTGAGAATTGCTCTTTCTAACTCTGTGAAGAATTGAGTTGGAATTTTAATGGGGATTGCATTGAATCTGTAGATTGCTCTCAGCAAGATGGCCATTTTTACTATATTAATCCTGACAATCCACAAGCATGGGAGATCTTTCCATCTTCTGTGATCTTCCATTTTTTTTTCTTCATGGACTTGAAGTTCTTGTTGTACAGATCTGTCACTTGCTTGGTTAGGTTCACACCAAGATATTTTATATTATTTGTGACTATTGTGAAGGGTTCTTGGCAGAACGACCTAAGACAAGCTCAGTCTTATTTATGAAATAAAAAGGGGGAGAGGCAGAGAGCTTTGGGGGCTGATTGGCAAGAATCTGACATGGGCCAAGGACAAGGAAGTAGGCTTCAGGCTGGAATATGACATTAGGCTAGAACAAAGAAGTAATGTTAGGCAGGAATCTAAATCTTAAGCTAGAACAAAGTAATTTCAGACAAGAATCTAAATCTTAGGCTAGAACGAAGAAGTTGGCTTCAGATATGAAAATGACTTCGGGCTAGGGCAGGGAAGTTGGCTCAGATCTTTTGGGCATCCTGATAAGCCCTTAGAAACATTGATCACAGGAGTGTTCATGGAATTTTGTTGATTGCCTTGCTTGTTCTTTGACTATGTGTGTTTATTGTCTTGCTTGTTCCTTGACTATTTGCATCTATTGTATTGCTAGTTCCTCAACCTAGAACTGACCTTAATATTTGCATGTAATTAAAATGGTATAAAAGCAAAAAGGTGCCTGGCAGTGGTGGCGCACCTTTAATCCCAGCCAGCACTTGGGAGGCAGAGGCAGGTGGATTTCTGAGTTCAAGGCCAGCCTGGTCTAAAGAGTGAGTTCCAGAAGAGCCAGGGCTATACAGAGAAACCCTGTCTCAAAAAAAAAAAAAACCAAATAAATAAATAAATACATAAATAAATACATAAATGAATAAATAAAATAAAAGCAAAAAGGAGGGGGGATGGGATGGTGGTTAGAGGGTGGAGAAATGGGGAAAGGGGATGACATCTGAAATGTAAATAAATAAAATATCCAATTTTTTTTAAAAAAAAACAAGCCAACTACAGGTTTTAAAGATAAGAAAAATATCTGTAACAGAATAACATTATTATTTCTCTATCATTTATAAATGGCTTATGAGAAAAATCTAGAAACTATAAAACTAATATTGACTATAATGAATACTTCTACTGCTGTCCTCTAAGGCTAGCTTACAAAATAGTCTTATTCTGTGTCACTGCCTGTATTGAGACTAAACTGTTCAGTGGCTTTCATTACAACTCCCCTGTATAATATATTTCTTTGTTAAAAAAAAAAAAGTTCCTACTGTTAAGAACATATCTTTAACACCTGCAAAAACACTTGCCTTGTCTCATTAAATTCCTAGCATGAGAATTGATAGATCCTTTAAGAAACTCAAATTTGATTAAAATGGGGGTTTGTTCCATTCAAACAAATGAAAAGAAAAAGAAAAAAAAGAAAAATACCACCTTGGTAATTCACAGGAAAGAGGTGGCACTGGCAGAAGCCTCCGTGCTACAGAATGCCCTGTACCCCTTTCAGTTGAGGTGAGTAAGTATGGGAAAACTTCATGTACCTCTACTTCAAGGGAGTTTACCTCACAAGCCCTATCCAGAAACAGCCTTAAATTCTAACTTTGATGCTCTGGTTGCCTTCCACAGAGAAAGAGACTTAATGTGCAGGTCTCTTCCAGTCAGCCTGTCTGCAACTGGCTTTCCTCAGCTCCACACTGGAGCATTTTCCAGGGAACTCAGCTGTCTTTGACCCTTCCCTTTTGCACTATTCTCTCCTGCTCCTGGGAGATTCCCATCAGCCTTTGTACTGATGCTACTGTGCTTTCATCTGCAGACTCGGGGATTAATCAAACTCTGGTCCCTTGACTGGCTGGCCCCACCCCCTCATTGTTCTATTTGTTGTCCTTAGCAACAGGAATGTGGGAAGGAGGCCTCAGAGAACTTCCCTTGCTCCATGGAGGTTCAGGCTCATCTTTGTGCTTCGATTGTTTTATGTCTTAGATTGTTTGCCTTTTGTTTTCTTATTTCACCCAGAATTGGTCATTTACCCAACACTCGGTTTGGAGTCTAATTGGCTTCCTTTTAGGACTCTATATGAACTGTGGGTCTGCACTGAGTAGATGCTAATGCTGCAATGATAACAAGGGCTAATGTGGCCCAGGGGAGGGCTCTGCCTTCCAGCTCTCCGGTCCTCCTCTCCGGTCCACATCACTCCCGAGTGCTCACAAGTCGTTAGTCTTGGCTACTGAATACATGGCAGCTTCTATTTAGCTAGTCATTCACATGAGGCATTGCAGTGTATCTGTCCCTAGCTGTGCTTGGTAATTCATGAGGAGGAAATGGAGACAGAGTTTTCAGTACTCAGCACTCTATTCATCTGGATTCTAGAATTTGTCATTTTGAAGGATGTTTTCAGTAGATTGTGAACCTGGACTGGCATAGTTTTAAGGATGTGAATGAAAACACTCAGATGATTTTTTAGGACTATGTTGGAGGTGAGTCAGGTTATTTTTTATTTGTTATTTTTACTTACAGATTTTAGATCCCATCCCACTATAAGAACTCTCACTAGACTGTTTTTCCTAGACAGATGAGCTTAATTAAGTAAATTTAATATAATCTTGTCTCCTAGCAGAGTGTATGATTATCGTGTTAACGGATAAAGTAATGAAAACAGTTCTGATGGATTCATATGGCTTTTCACTTGAAAAAAACAATCCCATTCTGCCCACATGGAATACAATTAGACCCAGATAGATGAAGTCAGGCAGCTGTTTTGTTCCTTGAAGGCTGACATGTAAATTCCAACTTTAAGCAAAGCTCTCTACAATCCATATATATATTCTCACCACAACCTTTCCTTTCTTCAGTAACCAAATATGGGGGTACCATCTGGAAACAGCCATTTCTTACCTAGAGAAGACATAGTTAAGTGCTGTTCCTTGATGGGTAATGCTTGGGGAATCTGTATGGGAGCCTTACTGCAAAATATATATTCTCATTTATTCTAATTTTACCTTCAGCTATTTCATGTGGGCATCCTGGGGTCCCTGCTAATGCTGTCCTGACTGGAGAATTGTTCACATATGGAGCCACAGTCCAGTACTCCTGCAAAGGGGGGCAGATCCTCTCAGGCAATAGCACAAGAGTCTGCCAAGAAGACAGTCACTGGAGTGGATCCCTTCCTCATTGTTCAGGTGAGGAACTCTGTGCTCAGGATATTAGACAACCACACACAAGTTTGAAATGATTCAAAAGACACCACTGTTATAGATGATCACCTTCATCTGTGGCCCCCACCACAGTGGTCACCAGCACTGACAGCATCACCTCAGCCTTTATCCCTTATCCCATAGACCAACATCATTTTCACCATCATCGCTGGTACCATTATATAGACCACCTCTATCCCCATCATAGCATCATTAGTGCCTCACAGGTCCACATCAGCATCATCCTCACTGTGATTACTGGTCCCTACCACCTAGATTGCAGTCATTTCATCCCCACCGCTTTCAGTAAGCCACACCACAGAGGTCTGTATCATCTTCTTCAGCACCTCTGTTATTATCCTGCCGTATGAATCAGCAGCAGCAACTGCCCCATCCTCACATCTCTTACCGTTTCTGTATGCAGGGATTTCTGGTTGTCCCGTTGGAATCCTTGCTTGCCTTGAATGTATTATAGTTTTCCACTCTATTTGCCACATATTCACCTCTAGTATCAGTAGTCACCATCATCCCTTTTACGATATTAGTTTTCCTGTGGGTGGTCTTTAAGGAAAATTTAATACTTAGTAAGTCTAGATATAGCTATGAAAAATAGACACTTTGATGTCCCTGTGTCTCTAGTATGGCTGAATCCCACTTTTCTCTGGCTGCCCACATCACTGTCTTGGAATACTGTGGTGATCCTATCCCGATATTTCATTTCTCCCCAAAGAATCCTATTTCCTCATAAATCATATTTTTATTTTAATGACAGACAAACAATACCTTCAGTTTCTTCCATGCTAGGAAGTATGACAAAGAAAACCTTTTTTTTTTTCCGGATGCCACAGTGCTGAGAATGCATAGCCCGTGTTAAAAGCATATTTAAGAGACCTTTGATAGCTTTTGAAGTTTTACATGGAACAACTTTGTTTAAACAAGTCAGGCAATCCCTGTGTTTTGTTCTCTACAGGAAATAGTCCTGGATTTTGTGGTGATCCAGGGACGCCAGCGCATGGGTCTCGTCTTGGGGATGAGTTTAAGACAAAGAGTCTGTTGCGGTTCTCCTGTGAGATGGGCCACCAGCTGAGGGGCTCTGCAGAGCGCACATGCCTGGTGAATGGATCTTGGTCAGGATTACAGCCTGTGTGTGAGGGTGAGTAATTCAACCATCCCTTTACCCCATGTCCTCTCAAGTCTTCACACCATTCCCTCATCCTAAAGTGGCTAGGATCAGCCTGAGGGAATTCTAGATGTCTTTACTACTTGTATATTTGAATCCTTCTTCCAAAAGTTTTAAGAGCATCACTAAAAGTTATGAGCGAACCCTAGAGATGCCCAGACTGTTCCAAGGGCTTATCACACTAGTTCTTATCATTTGAATGTTTATCACACAAAAGTGGGTTTCTGATCTAATGCTAGGCCACGATTGACACTTTGTTCTATGGATTCTGGAGGTACAGGAAGGCCATGAGGAGAAGCAAGTCAATCAGACAGGAAGTCTATGGGCTGGGAGTACTTCACTCCCCACCCTGCCAGTGCCATCATGCACAGAAGCTGCAAAGCAACCTAGGGTTCTAATCTCTGTGGCATTTGGGAATGAATACATCCGACTTCAGTAGGAGGTAGGGGTGATCCAGCTGTCAACAGTGGACACCATGACTCCTTTCTTGTACGAAGCCAGTCTGCAAAGTCTACCTTAGGCTAAGATAAAGTGAGATGTGTTTGATAACGGTGTGCTTAAAATTCAGAAAACAGCATCAGAATGTAGTCAGGTATCCCTTTAACTAGCAGCTATCCCTTTAACTAGCAGATATTCACGTAAGCCAACATCTCAAGTTTTGGGTCTCAAAAGATTATCCTGGTGTATTTTTGTGTGAATAATTTTTTTTCTATATAATTTGGAATACTTGAAAACCTCTTACATTATCCCCACTGGGGACCGAATCTCCAGAAGTGCTAAGCAAGGCTCCAGGCACCAGGTCCCTAGTCAAGATTATTTCTGACCTGACGTGATTGGCCCTTCTTAATTGACTAAAAACCTTGCATCCTCATAGGAAGTGGGAATGAATTGTAAAAGGAACTCACAAGTCATGAAAGAAAAGGAAGAAAAGCTCTTAAGATGTTCATAAAGACCCAGTGATTTATATACCTTTTATATTTTAATATTACCTACCTGTAGATTTCCATTATGTTATCTGAGCTTTGGCTGGTAAATGGTCTTTTTACCACACTCTCATTACCATATGTTTCCAAGGCCCTCATTCAGGAAGTTGCTTCACAATAATTATGTCATGTGACTTAAGTTGCCTTGGGCAAATCTTTATTGCTTTCTCATAATTTTGATAGAATCTAAAGTCAACTAAAGCAATAAAAACGTGGTGTTGATGGAAGTAACATGAATTACAAGCTGTCTTGTCATTGTCACTAATAGCCAGAACATGAGACCTTGCACATATTACAGCAATTGGGAGGGTCTTAGCCAATCCCCTTTATAATTGATTACATTAAAGTTTGAATCCATTGTCTGCATAAATTAACTAAGAAAACAAAATGACAGAGTTCAGGACAGTGCAACTGCCATCTGTCTAATACAATATACTAGGCGGGCTCCACTGATATTAAGCAAGAAAATGTTCATAATTAGTTGTTATATCTTGCTGTAGATTAGGTAAGACAAAATTACATTTTAGCAAAAACAAGTCACATGAACAATAAGCAAGATGTGAAGCAGAAGATGCATTTTCAACTTTACACAAAGAATAAAACTGGGAAACATAGACTATGCTAAAGTCTAACCTTATAATTTACAAAGTATCTTTGTTTCTTTATAGTTGCAAATAGAAGCTATTTCCTCTAGTATCACAGCCTCTTCTGTCCTGTTATCAATATCACTCCAAAATCACAGGCTGACAGTGCCTTCTATCTGCATCCTACTGATATGACAGGCAATGGATACATTTATTACTGTTAAATAGGAAAGAAAGAAAAAAACCATAATTGTGAGTCTTACTTTATAAAATGCAATATTTCACATCTCAACATTCAGATAGTGTCATTATGGTAAAAACTCATTAACATATATTTGCTTACAAGATAAACTGAGTGACTCTCATCAGTTAGTTGATTGATTTCATCCTGTATAGGTGACTTGGAAAGCTGTGCACACAGATTAGTTTAGCGAATATGATCAGGTAGAAATGACACTACCATCATTTGTTGATTGATTTTATAAGTTCTGGTTTGGATATGGTCACTTTTTTTTTTTTTGAGAAAGAGACGGAGGGAGGGAGAGGGAGCGAAAGACTTACTACCCGTACAACTACACAGTAGCTATGACTTGACAGCTGCTAAAAAGGTGCATATTGAATGATTATTATTACTGATTAGTTATGATTGACATGGTCACAGGCAGACAAGCCCTGATAGGAGTGCTTTGTATTTGTTTTACCAAAAGGAATCAATTCAACTTGAACTTATGTGTATATCCTTCATGAAATAAGAATTGACAGCTTTCTTCCACGTCCTATGAGAAACGCATCTTTCTTTGTTCTCAGGAGTAGCTTTGCAAGTGGAACAACTAAACATGCAAAAATATTTTCAAATATGCTGACTACTTTCAGGGAGTCTCATGCTGTTGTCTCCTTTTTACTACCCGGTAGTTATCTCAAGACTTATTGTCTTTTCCAACACATCATTGTAAAAGGGCTGAGGTAAAACATACAATCATTCTCATAAATGCCCCAAATAAATATGACAAAATATTAAACACTGAAGCCATCATTATAGTCTGACCCGGGAGACATGCGTGCTTCTGCTTCGTGATAGCTAAGGTGCACACAGTGAATGAGAGTCTTGCCCTTTTTCACTGAGCATCGTTAAATGAAGTTGCAGTGCCTATAGGGGACATTAAAATACTTGTGAGAGCAATGCAAAATGAAAGTATATGTCAATCAATTATTCATCTGTGGGTTGATTTTATAACATGAGGGGGGCTACATTCCAATTGGTACAGTCATTTACATTTCTGAGACGTTCTCTGCATCCCACGTGAACTCTCCTGGGGACATAACATATGGCCTTATTTTTCCAGATTTCCCACAAATAAAGAATGCTAGGAAGGAAGATGTGCTTGAACTCTAAAAGCATATAATACATTTTAAAGTTCATGATAAGTCTACCCTGCTTAAAAGCATGTTCAAGCTCGAAGCAGCAAAGCTTTGCATTTCCAATGTTTTACATCAGATTTTTGAACAGAAAGATGTGAAAGTATAGTTTTAAGTTTTGTGACTAATCACAAATAAATCTGAGGGTCAGGTAAGACAAACTGATCCCATACAAATATTCCCACATTCCTGTAAGGATCCCACCCTCATTGTCCCCCCTGTTTTAAGCCTCAGCCCTGGCTTACTCCCTTCTGGGCCACTGTCTCTGATAGCCGTGTCCTGTGGAAACCCTGGCACCCCCACCAACGGGATGATTCTCAGCAGCGATGGAATCCTCTTCTCCAGTTCTGTCATCTATGCTTGCTGGGAAGGCTACAAGACCTCAGGGCTCATGACTCGGCACTGCACAGCCAACGGGACATGGACAGGCACAGCCCCTGACTGTACAAGTTAGTACCTGCTCAGTTGGAGGCAGGGGTGGAGGGTCTGGGAACACATCAGTTGAGGGAGGCAGTGGAATTTCCAAATCTTTTGAATCTTTAAAAATCATTCAGGATAAAGTATAATGTGAGTTTGATGTGATGCCCTGTTTTCTTAGATGCTTTAAGATTCTGTGTCTTTAACTGACACAATGAAAGTATGGACAGTTAAGCTGTGTAATAAAGGAAAAACCATAGAGAAAAGTACAGCTTCTCTGGGTCTACCCCACCCAGTTTAAAAAGAAATAAGCTACTTTGTTCTTGTCCATAGCTTTGGGTGTATCCTGATCAGGTACCACCAGCAGCGACAGTCATACTGCCACCTATCAATAGAGCAGCAATTAACAATTCCAAACACAGCCACGTGGCAGCAGCTCAGTGGAATCTGTGCCCAGTGGCAGGTCACCTCTCAGTCTCCCGCTGTATCCCAGAAGAGTGCTCACACAGTTTGGTTCCTGTCGTGATAATTTGCATCTCTCTGGTTCTTTCCTGCTATGTACCTCTCAGTCATCAGCTGTGGGGATCCTGGGACACTGCCCAATGGCATCCAGTTTGGGACAGACTTCACTTTCAACAAGACTGTGAGCTATCAGTGCAACCCCGGCTACCTGATGGAGCCCCCCACATCACCCACTATCCGCTGCACCAAAGATGGCACATGGAATCAGAGCCGGCCCCTCTGCAAAGGTGTGTGCACCACCATTTGTTAGGCATTTGTGGGCAGGTTTAAAATTTTTTACAAGATTGGGCCATATTTACTTTGTGCTTACAAAGCTGTTTCAGCAGCCAAGAATCCCAGGAATTCTTCTCAACCCATTTGTAAATATCCACTCAGTTTTCCTGATTCATTGCTAATAGTTTTATAGATGGGGAAAACAAGTCATGGGCGGCTACAGGGAATGGCTCAAGATTAGAACCCCTGAGTGGAGACAGTAAGGTCCAGATGACTCATTCTGTCTCTAAAGCAGTGGCACTCAACCCTAATGCTGCAACCTTTTCCATTTCCTTGTGTTGTGGTGACCCCCAACCATGTAATTATTTTCATTGCTACTTCATAAGCACTAGTTCTCTACCATGATGAATCATAATGTAAACATCTGTGCTTTCCTGTCATCTTAAGACACCCATGTTGAAAGGGTTGTTTGAGCCCCATCTGAGATCTCAGCCCACAGGTTGAGAACCTCTGCTATAGAGGGGATGTTTGGATGTAACAAAAATTTTAAACCTGTCCACAAGTGTTTAGGCACTCTTGATGAATAACCTGATAGTGGTCCCATTACATATGCGACTGGTGTGATGGCAAGTTTGGTTTCAGGAATATAGAGACAAGAGGCACATCAGCTGGTCATCCGGCCATGACGCAATATAGGTGGAAGATGAGCATCGAAATGTTCCGAGGGTCAGATGGAAAGAGGGAAGATGGACATACACTGAGAAGGCTCAGGAAGGCTTGTGGCTTATACAGCATGATGCTCAAGGAATGATCAAGCTCTAGCTGGTTGGGGTGGGATTGGTTGATGTAGTCACAGGGAAGCTAGGCTGTAAGAGGCCCGTGGACACCAGAGATCTTCAAGGTTAGGACCTCCCATAATCAGAAGATGAGACATCCCAGTCACTGACTTCTGCTATTTACTGACCTGGAATGGGAGCAGAGGAGAAAGAAAGGTCAATACTAAGAAGCTATGATGGCCATGCATAAACGTGTGGCATTTTCCTCATCTGATAGGAATAAATGCATAATAGTGGGAGCTGGGGCGCCGAGGAAGTCTCTGGAAAGGCATTGCCATCTGGTTTTCTGAAGGACTTCTGAATTTGTTGTGAGGCTTCCTGAGTCCTTGATGCCCACAGCTCTTGTTTCCTCCTGCTCTGACAGGACACGCTATTGGGTCGCCTTTGTTCTTCCTGACCTAAGTGTTTCACACTTTCTCATATTTCACCGGTGACTCAACATCACATGTGCTTTGTAACAGGCACCAGCAAATGTGTAATGACACTCCCTAGCTAGATTGAACAGGTTCAGGCCTAGGGTTTACAGTAGAACTTGCTGATACCACACTCCGGCTGCTTCTCCTGACTGTGTCCCTTTAAGTAACATCCATCATACTCATGGTCAGTGCCAGGACCCTTCTTGATACTCCTCCACTTCTCATTCCAACTCTTCCTGGCCTTTGCTTCACTACTCGAGCACTGTTCTCTGTTGAGTCAACGTGTTCATCCTATTTCCACCTAGAACTTTCTCAGGATGGTCCCAGTGCACAAACACATGTTCCCTCAATCAGCCCTGACAAGTTCTCAAGAAGCGTTTACTGAGCAAACGATAAAACGGGCAGAAAGTTGAGTGTCCACACCAGGGCCCACTTCCACCTGCTATGCGCATGTGCTAACTGCCGTGTGTCCCACATGAGCTTCCTCCATGAGCTGACACACGTGAGCACAAACACTCACAAGCGTGTCCTCCATCTCTGCCTTCTGCCAGTCAAGGTGCCCTTAATTCCCACACCAGGAAGCTCTCATCCTCAGAGTGGGTTTTCACACGCTGCTTGGGGAACATTCCCATTTTATTGTAATCTCTGGAATGGGGGCGGGGCTATAAGCCATCACCACAAAATGACCCAGTGTTCCTGCTTTGCCTTTGCTTTATCCCAGTAAGTGAATACTGAGCTCAGAAACGCTAGTAAAACTATAACAAGAGTCACTCCACAGAAGCGTGTTTAACCGTTTATGGATTAGCTTTTTTAAAGTTATTTATCACATCGGGTGAGGATGGATCAACGTCTAGAAGAATACCTTGCCCTTGTAGAAGAGCCAAGTTTAGTTTCTAGCTCCCACAGTAGGGGCATGCAACCTCCTGTGTCTCCAGCTCCAGAGGATCCAACTCCTCTGGTCTCCTCAATCACCTGCACTCACATGCACACAAAATGTAGTAATTTAAAAGTCTTTAGAAAATTACTATTTATAAGCGCATGAACAACTTCGGGCAAATTATATGCTATCTTTAAGTACGTACAACTATGGATGTCGGGAGAAAGTTTTACTATCTGGAACCTAAATTTGAAGGCTTTACTAATGTCATGTGACCGAGTCCCCCTTAGATTTGTTCTTAATCTTGGGAATAAAACGACAAGGAAAGGAATGTGTGTGGAGAAGTGCAGAGGATTTGATCTCTTCCCATCCCACCTTGCTTTGTATTTTCATTTCATTGTTGCCTCTGTGCATTTGGTCTGAGATAAGGAAGAAATAATTGGAAAGCAACTCGCAACTCTCACGTTGCTAGCGTTGTTGACCATCGTTATTTCTATTTAAAAAGGCCTTAGTGGTCAGGAGGAAGCCATGACAATAGGCACAGTGGTAGGTGTGGTGGTGGAGATGTGGCAGGGGCTGTGGCAGTGTGACTCTATGGCAAGATCCAGAATGAGTGCTAGGGCACCAGCTGTGGCCAGAGCTGTGATAAGAGCCATAGTAATCAGTATATTGGTGGGGGTTGGGGTTAGAAATGACATACACAGCCCTGCTGCCAGGGTCATTGGTGTGTGTGTGACCTGTTTTCTCTTGCCAACAGCTGTCCTGTGCAACCAGCCTCCCCCAGTAGCCAATGGAAAAGTGGAGGGGTCAGACTTCCGATGGGGTGCCAGCATAAGCTACAGCTGTGTGGATGGCTACCAGCTCTCGAACTCAGCCATCCTGTCCTGTGAAGGGCGTGGAGTGTGGAAAGGAGAAGTCCCTCAGTGCTTGCGTAAGTCCTAGGCTGGCACCTGTCCTGTGATCCTGGACACTCAAGGAGGCACTGCCAGCGCCATAGTGATGTGTGACTGTGATCAAACTGTGTAAACTCTGAGACCTGAGCTTGCTTGTGTGACCAAAGGCAGGGGCTGTTATGGGTCTGGGGTGGTTCAGAGATTCGCCAGTCTGACCATTTATAAAAGTTAACAAAGAAGAGATATTTGTTCAGATCCTGGAGCCACCCTACATAGGCTAGCCCAGCCACCTCAGTCAGGGGTTTATAAAAGCAGAGAATACAAAGTTACAATTTGGTTTTTTGAGCAGAAGGTCAGATGTGGCAAAGCTTATTAACAGAAGCAGAACAGGGCAATAAAAAAAATAACCCTTAATATTCTTTAATAGTTTGAGATCTAATTTTCCTTTATAGTTCTCTCTTTTTTTTTATTGGATATTTTATTTATTTACATTTCAAACGTTATCCCCTTTCCCGGTTTCTCCTCCCCCTGCTTCTATGAGGCTTTATAGTTCTCTTAAACAGAGAGGTTTTAAACTTTAAAACATAAAGTCAGCCATAAACATAATGTTAGCTATCTATCATAGTACCTTTTCCTTAGGAATGTGTATAATCTGACGAATCCATAGGATGGAAACAGATTTAATAGGCTAGCCTGGTCTAGACTTGCTGCATCCTGATAAGGCCTGTTTATTTCCCCAGCTGTGTTCTGTGGTGATCCTGGGACTCCGGCAGAGGGACGGCTCAGTGGGAAAAGCTTCACCTTTAAGTCTGAGGTCTTCATCCAATGCAAACCCCCTTTTGTGTTAGTGGGATCTTCCAGGAGAACCTGTCAGGCTGATGGGATGTGGAGTGGCATCCAGCCCACTTGTATAGGTAATGTGCTGACACCCCTGAGGGTGCAGGGGAGGATACGGAATGAGGAGATGTTACTGCAGAGGTTCATTTGTAACTGTCATAGATGGTGTCCTGAAGTGATACACTCTGAGGGGATAGGCTTCCCCAGTGGAAGTGTCACAGCTCTGGGAGGGAAGGTCTCTCCTATGGAAGTGTTAGAACTCTGAAAGGCAAGGTGTGCTGGCAGTCAGAAGTCAAGGAATACCACACAACAAAGCTCACACAAAAGATTTAGAGGGGTAGCTGCCTCTGCTCCAGCAAGAAGCAACCTTGAACTCAGAAGGAGCTGGGCTTATGTAAGTCTTTTGTGGGGAGGAGTTTTTCAGTTCGGAAACTTCCAGGTTAGAGATTGATAAGGTTTCAAGCCAAGCAAAGGGATTTTGGGCTCAGGAGGTGGGTTTTGGGCTGAGGGACTAGTGTGTTTGGGGGCTCAGGGTTTAGTAGAATTTCAGGCTCTGGGATTGGTGGGACTTAAGGGTCAGGGATTGGTGGGTTTGAGGGATCAGCGATTGGTAGGTTTTGGTAGGTTTTCAAACTGGAAGGTGGCCTCAGGGCTTTACCCTGCAGTCTTATGCAAGGACCTAGTCAAAGTGACCATTATCTATCAGTACAGCTAAATGAAGTTCAGCCTCCTTCAATCTGAGGCAGAAGCCTGCTGGTGTACTGATGGACTCTTTCCCACCTGAGCATCTCGAACCGTCTTAGCTCACAGCTCTGTCACTTGGGAAAGAGTGTTCTGAATGATACAATTATTATCATCTCCTAGCAACCATCCCCATTAGCAAGGAGGCAATTCTTATTGTGAGTTAATACTGACCACCCACTTTCACTGAGATTCTTGTGCAACTTTACAGTAAAGTAATTAATAGCTTGAATCTGGGAAATTTTCTAGGAAATCAAGTTGTTTTTACCTAAAACTAAAGACAGCATTAGAAATAATTCCCATGCAACATTTTTATTCTAAGTCTGGGAATATTTTGTGCCATTTGGCTTTAAGTGCTGCATGGCAGATAGCTTCCTATTAATAATGTCTTCCTTCCCCAGACTTCTCAGTAGATCTAGGGGGAAATTTTTAAAAAAAAAAAAACAGTATCTATGTGATTCTGAATAATCAACTAGGATGAGCAACAATGTAGCCACTTCTCTGTATGCTGTGTATTTGAAAAACACTGCTGATGAATTGTCAGAAGTTTCCACTAGAATAATATGTTTCTCACTTTTAAAACTTAAGAAAAATGTATCCAAAAATTCACAAGGACTAATATGGACGACCAACTGTGATGGGGATGAAGTAAAGCTGTACAACCCAAAAGATCAGAGTAGGAAACGATTAGACAGACTTAAATATTCAGGATCAAGTGTCTGTCCTCAGAGGGACTTACACCAGGGAGTAGGGAAGAAAGGCCAACTCTCAAATAAGTACAAATATGCAGATTAGATGTGAACATGCAAATCTACTTAAAAACTTAAAAAATCAACGATACCCAAGGAGATAAAGGCAGGACACTTACTTTAACAATTCATATAAAATACATGCATCTTGAAAATGTTGTCTACATTTGCAAGATCTTTCAGTAAAGGTGTTACAATTTATTTTTTATTGTCAATTGCAGATCCGGCACACACCGCCTGCCCAGACCCTGGCACTCCCCACTTTGGAATTCAGAATAGCTCTAAAGGTTATGAGGTACTTCATTTCCTTTTCGGTCCTAGATTCTTATGACCTAGCTGATAACAATCATCTGTGTACACTGCTATATTCCTTAGCTTATTCAAAACACAGTTTTTGCACAGGAAATCCTTCTTTTCCAGGACTTCTACACACAAGTCTGTGAACGTATCTGTTAACCTTGTGCCAGTGGCTATATTAATTTTCACTGGGAAGCTCAGATTACTCAGTACCTTTGGTTTAGTGACAAAAAGGACAAGTATCATACCGACACATAAAAATACTCCATTTGAGGGCTAGATAGAGCTAGAAAATGACATACATTTTCAGAAAGAAAAGCAAAGCCAAAAGAAATGTGTCCTAGCCCCCACGCCAAGCTTCGCCATGGTATCCAGTCTCTGTATGATCGTGTAAAGAACCTTGATTGTTGGCACAAGCGTTTCACTTTGGAATGTCCTTCTGTCTTATTTATGATGTACGTTATTACCACGGTTAATGCAGAAACGATTCAAATGGAAGATGATGAATTTGCTATGGCAAGCATCAGCCATCCTAAGTGTGCTTCCCTCGAATGACATCTGGCCTCCGTGACATCACTCTGACACCTCATGTTAGATGGGTTTGCTGTTTTCAAGTTAATGACATCACCAATTTAGAATGAAAGTCTTTTCCTTCCGCCACTTCTTTCCCTCTCTCAGGAGCACTGGAGTGTGTCCATCTTTGCCTATTGGATCCAGCTTTCCTCCCTGTTTTGTCCTTTCTCTTTGGTGTCCCACAGAATCATTCATACAGTAGATGGAATGACTTTTAGCACATTTTGTATTATGACCCGGGTATGGCCTCAGACTTCAGATAAATGCCTTCTGGTGGTAAATATTCACTTCCAGATTACTGTTACTCTGTGATGTAAATGGATATTATTCTCAGTGGCTCACCTTGAAAATGAAAACCTGATTACTATTGGTCACCACTGATTTCAGCATTTCTTAGCTTACCTGGGCACAACCTACAGTCACAGAGAAGGTAGAATTAACCACATGCTTTCGATCCCCACAAGAAACCAATAAAATAGAGAAATAACCTTAAAGACAAGTAATAATGGACAACTCCCAACAATGTGCCTTACTATCTTTTAAAAGATACAAACATGGCCTTTTATAGCTAAGAATATGCCTGGGAGAAGTTGCCTCCCCTAGAGGTTCCTTTGTCTTTCATTAGAAGGAGATGTTTGTTTTTCTTGATCTGTGTGCTGAAATACCACCTCCAAGAAGGACCCCTTTAAGTTCTGGGATGTTCCATTCGCACTATGAGAACTGCCTAAGTGGAAAGAGTCGCTGCAATTGTCTAGTCAGCCCTGTCTTATATAGTCACAGTCCAGGTAAGGTGCACAGTCAGGTCTCATGGACTGACACATCGGGCTGAAGCTGCTGTCCTGAACAGACGTCTGTGATTTCTTCTGCCAGGAAATGGCAGGCCTCTCTTTCTCCTCCTATTGATGAATTCCATCAGTATGTCACCAGGAAGTCTGAGAGATCATGTCTGGTAGAATCCCTTTCTGCTAGGAAGGGAACAGGGTGTTATTTCTCTCCAGTTGGTACCAGTTCTTGAAAAGAACTTCAGGTGCATTCATTTTTCTTGGATTGTATATTCCCACTCATACTTTATCACATGCTGAGAGCCCACCCCCCCCCCAACCTATCTCTCGTTCGACATGCGAGCTGGATTTTCATGGTTTTAATTATAGGTTTTCCAAAATCCTCCAGTGGGGACAGGGATAAGGAATTGTGCCAACTAATATTCATAAGAAGACAAAGAACAGTTTAAAAATCTCAGAGCTTCAGGAAGATGGATATTTAAATCCTTGGACTCTTGCTTGGTACAGAAGGAATGCTGTGTATGCAGCCAGCCCCAGCAGAGCTGTCCCACAGCAAATATCTTTCTCCTGGCAGCTGTTTCTCTATCATGACTATGTTTATGTTCAAAGTGTGGGAATTGTACATCTTAGGTATATGCAGAGCATGACCATACATCATTGGCTAAGAAAATCTGGCTTTCTAGAAATTTCCCCTGCTTAGGGTAGAAACAGGAGAAAGAATATGGCGGGAGCTCTAGCACTGAGTGGCCAGTGGCTTTGGCTCAGGGCAAGGCCCTAGGACAAGACTCCTGTGTGGAAGGACAGTAAGAGAAACAGAGAGCTAAGGCACAAGCAAAGTCTCCAGAAGAAGAGGAAGACAGATGGGAAAGATGCTCAGGTAACTGACATGGTTCACAGATTTTGACACATTGAGTTTTGATGAGTTCCAGAAACATACAGCAGGGAGCCAGCCTCCAGAGTCTTAACAAAAGCAGGTCCCTGTGGTGCTGCCTGTGGTTTCAAATAAAACGAACAAAGGGAAGAAAAATAAACTAATAGGCATAAATGAAAGAGGGAGACTTGTGAAATTATGGAAAGAAAGTCCACATGTGTTTCCATTTGCTGTTTGAGACAAGGTTGCAACCTACAGCCCAAGCTCAGTAAGTATAATCCTCCTGTCTCAGCCTCCTGGGTTACAGGCATTTGTCACCATGCTAAAACATATTCTCTCTATCCCCCCCCAAAAAAAGCAACCATATTGATTGTTAGATCCTGCGTCTGCTTCCTTTTCTTTGGCCCCTAGTATATAGCATATAGTCTCTTCCAAGTATGATGCTGTGCCATGCATCTAGAAGTGGTGTACTAATCCCCACATAGGCTCAGGAACAAAGGTCACTGCCCCACCTCCTTTGGTTCTGGGGTGCTGTCCTTCCTCTGAAGCTCTGTTATTTTTCTCTTCAGGTTGGAAGCACTGTGTTCTTCAGATGTAGAAAAGGTTACCACATCCAAGGCTCCACTACACGGACCTGCCTTGCAAACCTTACATGGAGTGGGATCCAGACAGAGTGCATACGTAAGTCCCGGTTCATCCTCCGCAGACACATTGCCAAGTGTCTGCAAAGAACTCACCTTCCAGGGCAGTTGTGAAGAGAAGTGGGGTTGTTTATTTTTTTCATTCTCAAACTTCAAAGTTGTGCATCTCTCAAAATGTTCCTAAGGTTCCTAGCTGAGTCAAACCAACAAGGCTAAGAGCTTGGTCATAATGATGATCTTCAACCCCAATATCTGATGTATCAGAAACTGTGGGGAGTACGGCAGCAGGTGACAGGAAACTAGGTGACCAGGGGATGTGAGACAAATGCCAGACACCCATGACAAGGAATGACGTCAAACTCAGCACTGTTTGGCAGAAGACCCCTGATCATGTGGCCAATCCTCCATGTGTTTACACCACATTTAGTGAAGGAAGAAACGAGCAGGAGACAGTGTATGAACTCAGCATGGTAGTGTAGCCATAGACTACACTGTTCAACAGTGACAGAGGGAGTGAATATTACTTTGTGATTCAATCATGAGAAAGAACTGTAAGGAACTGGAACCAAATGATTCATGTCACCCATCACTTGCGTTAGGCAACCCCGTGCCTTGCTATGGCGAGCATGAAAGTATTATCTGAATGCCATGAAAAGTTATTGCAACGACAAGTAAGGGAGAATTTATTGTGATTTCTTTTTGTGAGAATAATCATGTGTGCACTTATTTCAAAGCTGACATAACAACCTCACGACTCAGTCATGTGGACAAGCTGTGTCCATATGTATGCACAGGCATGTACCAACACACTAAGGTGTGCTATGAACCTTGCTATAATGCAGGAATAAAGGCTGGAAATTTGCTAAAATATGAACTATTGACAATGCGTAAAACAACTAAATTCACAGCTGTAAAGTTGCTGGCTTGTTTAATAACTGTTATCCTAGTCTTTAACTGAAGACATGTATTAGTTTTGTAAAACAAGAACACTCTTGGTAGCACATGAGTATGCCAACTTCATTTTTCCCAAATTATATTTTTAAAAAGAAATGAGAACTTACAATTTTTTAAATAAGCTTCTAAGACACATCAAATTTTAACATTCATTTAGTTGTACAGTAAATATATACGATGCCACCCAACAAGCATATATCTGAATATGCACTGGTCCACGTATGTTAGCTCATTTGTGTTATTGGTTTCTGAGGATTTTTAAAAATTTCTTTTTATTTTTATTTGTGCCCGTCGATATTAGTATGTGTTTCATGTGTGTGGGTGTGCAGAGAGGCTAGAAGAAGTTCCCAGATCCCTGGAGCTGGGTTACTAGGAAGTTGTAAGCCATCAGACATGAGTGCTGGGAGCAACTAAAGTCCTCTAGCAAAGTGGCTAGCGCCCTGAAACACCTAGCCGTCTCTCCAGCCCCACACTAAGATATAATATTTTATCTCTCTTGTGCTATGCCTCTTACTATTCTGTTTTTAAATCAGAGCTAGAATCTGTCCTCTAAATTAATGTACATAATTATGCACATATATGTATATGCATGTATACAGATATATGTATATATGTTACATATGTGCATATATGTATATACATGTATGTATGTATATGCACATACTTCTCACACATGTAATCCCTAACTTCATATCCCTTTGTAGATGCTTCCTCTGTTAGTTCCTGTGGACATATGTAATGCAGTAGTTTTCAGAAAACAGAGAGCCCCATTTCTTTTTAATGAACTATAAATGCCTTTTCAGCCCATGCCTGCCGACAGCCAGAGACCCCAGCGCATGCAGATGTGAGAGCCATTGATCTTCCAGCTTTTGGCTACACTTTAGTCTACACCTGCCATCCCGGATTTTTCCTTGCTGGTGGATCTGAACACAGGACATGTAAAGCAGATATGAAATGGACAGGAAAGTCACCTGTTTGTAAAAGTAAGTCCCTGGTCCAGGTGTGACGTGCACTGCTAAAGAGCAAGGAAGAGCTGCCCCTGTGGTCAGGCTAGTGTGCAGGTCAGCAGACCCTCAAGAGACGTTGTTATGGAGCAACAGTGACCTGTTGTCAGTGTTTCACAGTGTCTGGGCTCTGTGTGCTTGGATGTGTGCACATAAGTGTCTAACACAAGGACCAAGATTGACCAGATGTGTAGACTTTGTTATTAATTGAATTGGAAGCTAAAGAGCAAAGGTGTTTGGATGAAGAAAAACATTGAATTAAAAGAACAAAATACACCATCATATCAGAAAACACATGTCTTTAAAACGAGAAGAGTCAGTCAATGTCATCAGTAGTATGGGCATATGAAAAACATCCTGTGTTGTTTTTAAGACCACAATCAGTTGAGTGGTGAAACTCCTATATTTCTATTATTGATACTGGTTCTACTGTTGAAAACTGCAGATACAATTAGCATGGAAACAGTGCCTTTTTACAATTACACGTGTTTATAAGGGAAGGACTGAGTCTGGGAGGGAGCTAATGAGAAAAGCCCCCAGCATCTGACCCAACATACCTTGTATGACAATCCCTGGGCAATGGGTGCAGACATGTCAGAGTATCGAGGTACCCCAACTTCAGCTTGAATTCCCTGGAGTGCATTGTTTCATAGTTCTAAGTTACAGTCTCATTCCTTACCATTTTTAGAAGAGAAGAAACATTTAGAAAATAGCTTGCAGTTTAATAAATGTTATAGAAACTGAGGACTTAGAAATTTAACTTTGACCAGATTCAACAATGTATGGGGAAAGAGTGTTGACATTCTTCAATATTAACTTATAAATCCGCAGATTTGGTGGGGTTGGGTAATGAGGGATTGTGACATTTTCCTAGCTTGGGATATTTCCTGCTGGTGGAGCAATGTCCACTCAAAAGCTCTCAAGAAGTCACCCTTGGCCACCCTCATTTGCAAGGCTCTCTGTTGTAGCACCTTTAGTGCGAACCTCCATGCTAGAAGCACGAACACGGGGCTAACCACTGAGCTCAGCATTTCCACAAACACAAAGATATTGTGCTGGGTACACCTGGGTCTGAAGTGTTTATGCATACAATACTTACATTTTGTACATTTTTAAGAATCCAGAGAAAGGAGAATAGCTTCAGTTTGACATTTTTTTTTCAACCTGATTCCAAAAAAAATAAATGTTTTTGCAAATGATAATTTGTCTTTTTACTTGTAGGTAAAGGAGTGAGAGAAGTTAATGAAACAGTTACTAAAACTCCAGGTTTGTATACCAGAAGAGTTCTAGCTCTCAATCAAACTCATTTGTTCTCAGTCCTGCACAGTGAGATGATCTTTAGAACTTAAATTTCTGAATCCGTTGGTCCACCTTAAAGCACCACACCTGCACACATCTCTACCCATCACCCTAATAGCTTATTACTAGGTCGTCACCACAGAAACAGAAGCCTTTCCTGTGATCACAGGGCTGCATTAGAGGACACATTGGGCATTTTGATCCCACATGTGGTATGATGGAGAGCCTTATAAATAGGGTTGCCATCCCCCTCCTCGAGGGAGTTAGCACACACAAGGCATTTGACAGCTTAAAGGTTGTTATTTGAGCAGTTCAAATGTGGAGCCCTATTTTTTCCAGAATCTCCATAATTCAGTTATCCTCTATCTTCCAGATAAAATGAAAGTTATACCCTGCCATGCTATATGGTCCTTTGCTAAATGACTCATGTGTAGAATCCAATTGGTGCCATGCTGTTCCCAAGGGAAGGTATCACAATTGGAAACCATCTGCATACTGGATCTGTGTTAGAAATTTAAATGTGCTTTGAATGAACAAAATATATCCCCAAGTTTTGTTTTAAGTCATGTTTGTCTTCACTTTTAACCAGAAATAGTAAAACTTTGAAAATATACAAAATGACTTGACTATTGTTTTGCTTATTCAGGTTTAGCCCTAGTTTCTTGGATAGAAAATTCTTTTTCTTAATCTACCTGGAAAGTTGTGTGCAAGGCTGACAGTTCAAAAATGCTATCTACTCCTTTAATTCTCAGATGATGAAAATACCTACCAGTGGGAGTAGGGGACTCTCCCTACTCTACACAGGAGAAATAAAAATATGCTTTGATCTTTTGAGTTATCTTAAGTATAACTTACAAATCAATGACAAAACCAACACTGTGCAAGGCAACATTTACCTCTGAGGAACTAAACATAATATGGTTTTGTCATTGTGGACTTTTACCCTGATTTCTATTTGCGAACTTTGTGTTATAGATGCTGAAAGCACCTTTTTGGGCACAAGCATTAACATCAATGGCCTTTTTATCCTTCCCTCTAAAGGGGAGTGCTAATTAAACCAGGTTATTGGCCAGGGTATAATATACCACAGCTTAGCAACCTGCTCCTTGACTTACTCTTACACATGACCAGCAGTGGGAAAGTTGGATGAGAAGGAGCCCAGATGAAGGCATCTCTTTCAAGATTAAAGATCATAGCTCAACTCAGAAATTGAGATATGATCCAAACCCTCAGTTCTTAGTTCTACACAGCCAGGCTGTCCTGTCAAAGTAATGCACCTACAGTGGTGGCTTGGGGCAATAGTTGGACCATATACAACAACGTTTTCTGTTAAGCATACAGATTCTAAGGGGTAAAATGGTTACTTTAGAGACAATTTAAGTAATGTAAAGGAAGGTACTTTGTGACTTTTAGTTAAAATGAGGGGTTTTGTTAAGGCCATTTATAAACAGAAATATTTAATATTGATTATTTATAAATATCTTAAATACTTTTGCTGATACACATCAGATTTTTACTAATTTAATTTTATTCCATTCTTATCTTTATCAGTCAGTTGGGTGTACCCAGGCCATGGGCAGCTACCAGATTGGATTCTTCCATGATGACTAATTTGCTAGTCTTGTTTCTGTGGACTTGGCTGGTCTAGTGAGATGGGAAGATGTTCAGTGAGAGCGAAAGGGGAAGCATGGATGTAGGCATTGTGAGCTTGTGACATCACTGTCATCCACAGTAGGCATCTGTATGTCTGTGACTTCACCATCATCCATCACATAGGTGTCTGTGTGCCTGTAACATCACCACCATCTGTCACATAGACGTTTGTATGCCAGTGACGTCATCATCATTTGTTACATCACTAGATTTGCTAAAGGTTATTTATTTACAGAGAAATAAGTATTTCTCCCCAACAACTGTAACATTGTTGAGATTCATGCTTCTTACAGTTGACTTTGTTTAATTAAATAATAGAGACATGTTGTGAGAGAGAAAGCACTGAGAGACTTGGTGCTAACATGGTTGGGAATTTACAAGGTGTTACACTCTTCAGTTTTATATTAATATCATCAGGAGAACAGGAATTTATACATGACTGTTTCCAGGGAGGTGTAAAAACCAAATTTAATATGTGTAATAAACATTGAAACCTAAAGAAATATCCCAATTACCTGTATGTGTATTCCCATGGCAGAGGAATTTTCTATTAAGAAAGACTCCCTAACTCCCTGTCCCTTTTGTGTCTATATTTAAGCAACACATATAAAGGTGCCAGAGATTGTCATGCTGCCTTTCAAATGAATATTACACTATTTTTTTCCCATAGAAATTAGCATAGAGTAGAAGCTATGGTTATATGCCTCTTCTCAAGGCAGGAGCCATCAAATACTGGAAAGTGTCAATTTGTCAGGAGTGGGGCTCCTGACAGACTGTTAGTGTCATTTCCCCCAGGTTTTCCATGGCTGTCAGAGTAAATCTGCAGGAAAGTGATTTAGCAGAAATAGTCAGGGGTCAGGTGAGAGCATCTCTTACTGGCTAAAACTAATGCACCTCTGAGAGAACCAATTCACCGAACCGTCTGTACCTGGCATGCCCGTCAAACCCAGCATACCCATGCTTCTTAATAACGTCCCAAAGAGCAGAGTGAGTCTCCCCACCTGGTCTCCCTGTTCTTTTGGTGTATTGCACACACTCAGAGCACAGAACTCAAGGTCACCCTGGGCTTTACACGGTCCTTAGCTGTGCTTTCTCCCTGGGCAGTCTTGGGCCTTCTTGCATTTAAAAAAAATTGTCTAGATTGCATGTCTGTGCCTGTCTTAATGCTGATCTCTCCCTATTTCCACTAACAGTTCCTTCTGATGTATTTTTCATCAACTCGGTGTGGAAAGGATATTATGAATATTTAGGAAAGAGACAGCCTGCAACTCTCACTGTGGACTGGTTCAATGCAACCAGCAGCAAGGTCAATGCGACCTTCACCACAGCCTCCCAGGTGCAGCTGGAGCTGACAGGTAGGTGAGAGGACCTCACAGTATGTTTTCTTACTAAGGTGGTGCTGAATTTACCTACATTGAATGTTATTGGATTTCTTAGTGACCATGGTTTGTTCCTGTTCATTTTTCTTTCTAGGGATTATTGAGCTGATATAGAAATGAGAATCCCCTCTTTTTTTCTCCCCTCAAAATTACGTGCATGACATATTAGATTAAGAATCCCCCATTTATATCTAGAACTCCATGGCTCTAGATTAAGTTGTTTGGGTGCCTTGTTTCTTGAATGGCATCTCCCTTATGAGTCACCCAAAGGTTGATATAAGGCCTGAATTACACAGCAGGTTCTGGTTTAAGTGTCAGACCTACTTCAAGCACCTGCCGGCAGTAGCATCATTTTTATTTTTACTTGGATGTTGTAATGTAAAAGATTTATCATATACCCTTTCAAGATAAAAGGAAAGAGCAAGAAAGATAAGTAAAGAGAGACTCAGTCACATAATCAGTCTGATGAAGAATCAAATGACCTTCACAAGGGCCCTTGTAAGCAAAGGGCTGAGTCAAGCTTTGTGCTAAACCAGCTAACCTCAGCTTAGATCAGTAGCCAATAAGGATAGTGTCATCATATGTACATCTGGTAATGGTTATGTAGGAGAGACTCTGGTGTGATGCCATGGATAACTCAGAAATCATAATGTAGACCAGGTTAGTCTCAATCTTGCAGGGAACTTCTCACCCAGTCTGCCTTGTGCTAGGACTATGGATATGAGCCACCATGCCTATATTCCAGAATAATTTTTGCTACTCGCTTTTTATAAAGACATATTTTGTCTCTGGTCAACTTCTAAAGCTGAAACTTGTTTTAAGTAACTCAATGCTATGAGTAGAAATGTCCAAGCAATCTTAGTGAGCAAATTATTTATATTGAGTTTCTAAAAATACATCATCAATAAAAGAAACTAAGGAAGTTTTGGTTTGTTTGTTTGGTTGGTTGGTTGGTTGGTTGGATGGTTGGTTGGTTGGTTGGTTGGTTGGTTGTTTTTTTCTAAGACAAGGTCTCTCTCTATCTCTGACGCTGCAGAACAGGCCTCTGCCTCCCTTCTGTTGTGAGTCCACCACTATACCCAACCTGTATGGAACTTTCAAATATTTAAATTCCTTAGTCTTACTCCTCATAGAATTGGGAATTTGGTAAATTTTTTTCTTCAATGATGTTCTCCAGTATGGGCCAAGGGAACTGGCTCAATGGGTGAAGCTTTTACTGCCCAGTATAAGGACCTGACTTCAGTTTCCCAGCACTCATTAAAAAAAAAAAAATCTGGGTGGTAGCATATGTCTTAACCCTAGTACCAGAAGTCACAGGTAGGAGGATACCAGGGGCTTTCTAGCATTTAGACCAGACAAATTGGTGGGTTTCAGTTTCAATGATGGACTCTGTCTTAGCATCAAGTTGAAGAATAATAGAGGAAGATATCTAACATTAACTTCTAGTCTACATTTATGTGTGGACAAGTGAGCTCTCCTGTACGCGCATGCGCGTGCGCACACACACACACACACACACACACACACCTAGAGAGACAGAGAGAGAGAGAGAGAGAGAGAGAGAGAGAGAGACAAAGAGAGAGACAGAGAGAGAGAGAGACACAGAGAGAGAGAGAGGCAGAGAGAGAGAGAGAGACAGAGACAGAGAGACAGAGACAGAGAGAGAGAAAGACAGAGAGAGAGACAGAGAGAGAGAGAGAGACAGAGAGAGGTGGAGGGGGGAGAAAGAGAGGGAGATGGAGAGGAAGAAGGAAGGGGTGAGAGGGAGAGGGAGAGGTGAAAGTGAAAATATGACCCAATGGCATATAAACCCTTTATCTCCACAGACCAGTGTTGGAATTTCAATGGTATGAACCTTCAAGGTATTTAAATCCAGGGACACCCAGGCTTCCCACTGTGGGACATCTAAAGGGGAATGGTCAGAGGCAGAAAGGAAGTAATATCTGTGGAGAACTTGCTGGATATATGACATTTCCTATTCTTATTGCTTTTTTTAACCATGAAAAATGTCATGAAGATAGATTTATTATCTCTCTCTACAGCTTGTAGAACTGGAGTCCAAGTTCAAAGTTTTGGAGGTTAAATGAATGGAAAAAAATCATAGCATTTCATGTGGTAGGAAAGGTCACTGCCTAGAGTTAAGTTCAGGTAGTCTCTTGTCCACTGGCAGAGGGTGCCTCCCGGTTGGGTGTCTTCAGGTAGCACTCACTCACAGGATGCTAAGATTTGCTCCTCTGGTGAACTGATAGTGAAATTGTCCATTTACTATGGCATTTTATGTATCATGCCTCATAGACCTCTCTGCCTGTGGAATGTGACAGGTTCAGCACTACTTGGTTAGTGTCTATGGTGGTTTGTATATTCCTCCTTTGGTGAGGCCCTAATTGAGGGTGCAAGGCATTTTTCAGCCACATCTCTCTGGATAGCACCACACCTATCTTTGTGCAGCTGTAGCTGACAGGTACAGATACATGGTACCATCTGCCTGTCTCTGTGTGTGACCCTCAAAATCCCTCTACCATGATGCTTCTCTATGAACAGAACAAGCCATTTCTAGAAGGAGCTGAGTCTTCAATTAGGATTTTGCTCTGTTTTCTCTATACACCTCTGTCTTCAGAAGCAAATACTATATGGATGAAAATGATGGCTCTTTGCATCTGCAGGTTTTAGTTCTTATTTTTTTTTTAAATAGTGGTGTTGAGTTTAGGGTTATATCTGCTTGAGAAGGATTCTTTCAAAGACTTTAGTAAGAAATGATTCCCCCAAAACCCACAGTGGTAAAGATACTAAGGCTCAATCTTCAAAATAAAACTTGTGTTTAAATGTTCTGTTGCCTGCATCATGATGCCCAACTGTGCCTGTTCCTTATTGGATGGGTTAATGGCCGAGCCATTGACTCTGACTTCCTCAGTGTAGGACTGACAACTGTAACATTTTTTTCAGGGGTCTACAAGAAGGAAGAGGCCCACCTGCTTCTGAAAGCCTTTCATATCAAAGGACCAGCAGATATTTTTGTAAGCAAGTTTGAAAATGACAACTGGGGACTCGATGGTTACGTAAGTAACTTTCATGAAGATTTTTACATGGTCCTCCCACTTTCAGGTCTGGGCAGAAGAGTTCACAATCCACTGAGAATTATGGGCAGGGGAAACACTGTCCACCCCTCAGGAACTCAGAAGGTACCCCTGAAGAAGCATGGTCAATGGACCACATCATTTGATAGAGGCAACCACCAAATCTCTGAGATAAGAAATAAGTTGGCCCAGAGTTAAGGGATTCTTACTGTTGAAGACATACAGGTTCTTCAGTCTAGGTTAGGCTCTGCTGATCCACAACCCTCACTGTCAGAACTATGACTATTCAGAGAACACCTAGAAAATGTTCTGAAGGCTCCAAAATCAGGATCAATGAACAGAGGAAGCTGGCTCTTTCCACTTGGTGCCTTTCTCTGTGAGTTAGCCATCTGCTATGACCCACTTCACTATAACAAGGTTTCACAGCCTCACATGACATTCTCTGGGATGGAGCTCATCAAAGTGAAGCCACAGAACATGGTGTTCCCCATTTGGGATGGTCACTGCCACGTGACCCTTTAGAATGGATGCTCATGCTAGGGATCAAGCTGGCATAACGATGCTTCCCATGTTGCTTTAACTATGTTGACCTATGTTGACCTTTAACTCTGTATGGATTGAGTTGGGGAAAATTTCACTCTGGGCATGCAATATCTAAATCTGACTGTTAACAGTTATCTGGTTGATAACTGAGTTCTTTCTCCTTCTTCTTGTGCCTTGCTCCCTTTTCCTGCATACCAGGTGTCCTCAGGACTTGAGAGAGGAGGATTCTCCTTTCAAGGTGATATACATGGAAAAGACTTCGGGAAGTTCAAGCTAGAAAGGCAAGGTAAACTTACCTAGTTTTGTTTCTTTGTTTGTTTGTTTGTTTGTTGTTTATTTGTATAGAACAATGGTCAATTGGGTCTTTAAATAATCCTGCTGAACAGAAACTGTAAAGAGATGACTAAAACCATGAATAGAGGTACCAGCAGAAGTTTTAAAGCAGCATTTTTAGTAATTCTTTGAGAATTTCATACAATGTATAACATCCACCCCTTTTCTGCTAACCTCTCCCAGATCTACCCCTACCTTCCTACCTACCCAACTTCAGAATGACTCACTGGGTTAGATTAGAAACATTGCTTTCTTTGTGTGCTCTGAGTTCTGCTCCCATGAAGGCCATTATTTGTGAAATGAGATGAGCACCATATTTTTTTCCTGGACAGCCTAGATGGCTTTATGTGCTTGCATACAATCAACACCACATTGGCTTTTGTGGCTAAGAGTGCTGCCATGCAGACTTTGATCCCAGTGACTCGTACAGAGGAAGCCAACATGGGAGTGTGCACTGGGGTGACTGGCACTGATGGTACTTTCAGAAGACTGCGACCCAGATACTCAGGGATAGTGAAGGAAAGATGTCACCTACCTATACGTTACTGCCAAAAATAATCAGTAAGGGAAAGCCATTATAAAATATTATCTTTCCACCATCCCAAATTTGGTCATCCCATTCAGTGTCAGCAGTGTCTGAGGGCCAAGACAATCTTTCAAATTGGTTCTATTATCTGGGTTTGATGGAATAAAATAAATACATTAGATTAAGACCACCCATAGCTGTGGTCTAGATTCAAACACCAAGGACACAAATCCAAGCCATATAACAAAAGGCAGCTGATACATAAACTGTAGTCTGGCCACACCAGAGTATGGTAGTCATAGAATCCAGATAGTATGTGCTAGACTAATTTAAAAGAGTTTAGGTTACTGCAAAAACATAAATATGGTTCCCTGAATCATGAAGCAGCTGAGTTCTAAATCTACATACTGGAGGACAAGAGGATACGGATTATATTCCTATAGATGGACACTGTATTCATCTCACTCGATAAAACATTATAAAAACCTCAAAGAGATCGAGCCCACTTTTGCCCTCCCTGCTTTCATTTTACCACCCTCTGGCAATGGTCACGCATGCCAGTGAGCTTCTGAAGAGACCATACGGATGTCAAGATTTACCCACACATTGGACACCAAGAACTCTCATTGCCTAGAACACGTCTTTCTCACATTACCCCATGCTTTGTAACAGAACAAAATAACAGCTTGTGTTAACAAGAAATCTTTATTCTCCTGAGATGATGACCATACTGTCAGAAAAAAATTGCTTTAGAAAATAATTTGGATCCCAAGTGAGTCTCCCTTTCAGCTAATTAGAAATGCCAATGTTTTAGTGATGCCCCAGCTCATTCATGAGTGCTGGATAAAGCACTTTTTTATATAGAGATGAAAATGACAACCTCCTAAATGTCTACGGTCAATAGATAAACCAGATAAAAGTGATTATGGTTGAACAGATACTGAAGTCAAGTTAATCTGAAAGATAACTTTAATGTGGAAATATCTACAAGAAACTTAGCATGAATTGGTTTCAACAGAAAAAGTGTGATCCACCACTACACACAAAATGATTAGAAATCATAAAAACATGATAAGTCTGAGCAATTGTTTGTATCTAAAATATATAAAAGACTACTGGGCTCCATATCACGGAAGCTGATGACCTCTAAGCCAATAGTACACAAAAGCAGTTGAGTACAAGTTTCCCAGATTATATACAAACACACGCCCATAAAAGATGTTGGACATTGTGTCAGGTTTTTTTTCCTGTTACTGGGATAAAATGTTCTGACAGAGGCAGCTTAAGAGAGAAAGGCTTTCTGGGTCACAGTTCAAGTCACAGTTCATCACGGCTGGGTAAAGCAGGTGTGTAAGGGAACTGATCACATCTCATTCAAAATCAGAAAACAGAGAGTAGTGAATGCATGCTCAGTTCCCTTTTTTCTACCTACACAGTTCAAGGTCTGAGTCATGGACTGGTACTACCCATGGTGAGTGGCTCTTCCTACTTTAATAATGCAATCAGGATAATTCCCCAGAGGCATACCCAGAGGCTTATCTGACAGGTGGTTGTAGATGTCATCACGCTGACAATTGTAATGAACCATCCAAGACGAGGTCAGGCACTGGAGAAATAGAAACCAAAGCTCTATCTAGAAACAACTTTGTAGGCACTATTAAAGATAGAAAATTAAGTTTTAACAATGAGGCAGAGAAATTGGAGTTCAGATTTTGCTGGTAGGATATTCAGGAATATAACTGCTATGAAAGCAACATGCAGCTCATCAAAATTAGACATAGAGTGACAGAGACAGGGACATAGACAGAGACAGGGAGTTGTGTCCCTGCTTGGTTTGCCAAAAGAACTGGAAGCATGTTTTACACATGTGTCCCAGAGACTTCAGGCATGTTATTATCACTTCAAAAGTCCATCAAATGAAGAGGCAGAGAAATGTGGTACATACATTGATACAATGCAATTATCATTCAGAATTAGGAAAACAATAAAATACTGATGGTTGAGACACTGAAGATGATTTGTGAGCCACAAGGCTAAATGAAAATTCTAGAAGATTCCATTTGGATACCATGCTCAGAAAAAGAAAACCCACTGAGAGAAAGTTTGAAGAGCAATCTTCAGGAAAGAATATTGGGTTGCTTCACCGTAAGACGGAAACTCTGATTCTTGTGTTCATCTCCAAGACAATATTATAGACACTTTTCTGCCTAAGCAGTATACAATAACTTCAAATTCCTTTTGTCTTCTAGATCCTTCCAACTCTGATGCGGACTCTTCAAATCACTACCAGGGTACCAGCAGTGGCTCTGTGGCAGCTGCGATTCTCGTTCCCTTCTTCGCTCTAATTCTTTCAGGGTTTGCATTTTACCTCTACAAACACAGGTACTGCCGAGCTGTGAGTTGCCTGCATGTGTCCGTGGCGTGCTGCCTTGGTGTCAGCAATAGCATACTTGAATTCACATGCACATAGGTTTTATACAGCTGAGCAGTTGGCACAGCGTGTGGGTGTGCTTCCTTATATATGGGTGTGCACACACCAGGCTTTCTGTTGATGATTTTTATTTTGTTGCATTTTTTCCATCGTTTGACTTTATCTATTTTGTCAGCAGAGCAAATCCAAGTAATTAGCTTGAAAGGAATGAATTTAAAGGAACGGTTGAACGAAAAGCATATTCTCGTACTTGTAGCCATCCATGGGAAAGTTGGATCCTTCCAGCAGGAGAGAAAGATAAAAACAAAATAGGTTTCCATGCTGTGGCTCTTTCAACTCTATGAATCAAAGATATAGATAGATAGATGGATGGATGGATGGATAGATAGATAGATAGATAGATAGATAGATAGATAGATAGATAGATGTATATATGACTTTTTTCAGCAAATTAGAAACTTCTTAATATGTCTGAGTAGTTAACTGCTCCCCATCCCTTAAAAGGATACACTGACATCTATTAACTTGAAATTTCTTTTTAATGAGCAGATGTCAAAGTTTAGGGGGGTTGATCAAGTTTGAGTAAATGGGTTTCTTTCTTTGGAGTTAATATGCATGCACATACATTTTTCAAAAAGGCACTGTAGGCAGACTAGGGATGGGCTTCACTGGTGGAACACTTGTGTAAAATGCACAAGGCCCTGGGACCTACCCCACTGCATGCCTGTAATCTCAGCATCTGGGAGGTAAAGAAAGGTAGACCAGGTGTTCGGTATCATCTTCAACTACACAGAGAGTTTAATTCTAGCCTTGGCTACAAGAGACCCTGACTGAAATGAACACCGACTGTGGAGGATTCAGTTTGGGTGTTTTCTCTATGTGGATAATATATTTCTGGGAAAACGTGTTATATGCTAAATCATTCCAAAATTCTATTTGAATTTTTAAGTAGTACAATTTTAAATAGTACAATTATGACCCCCAGACACGATGTTAAAACTTAAGTGTATCACATGTTTGCTTATGTAATACACATGCTTCTACTTAGTCATTATTATACAAACAAAACTGAAGTGAGGATATTTTATAAAAAAAAAATGCAATAAACTTCTTTAAATGTTTACTCCCTTATACACAAGAAAACATGATATCCAAAGACTATTCGTGGTTCGTAGCTTTGTCTTTTCTTGCCTATGGCTATGAGTGTTCTAAGTTTACAAATACAGCAACAGCAAAGAAATGGCATATATTGGCTACTTTCTGCACACCTTGGTCCTAGGGAATGAAGAAAGAACAGACATGGAGAAACATGCATAGAAAAGCTGGGCTGGTCATCCATGTACAGCTGGAACAGCGCCAACCATGCAACAACCCAGAACCTCAGTACATTCACCACAGGAAGAGGAGAGGGTTTGTCTTGGTTGAAGGTTTCTATGAGGGAGAAGTCTGGTTGCAGTCATCCTGGAGGAGGAAGATGCTACTTTTACCACACACTGTCAACATCACACTTGGACCAAAGGAAGGCTTTGCCATCCCTCTAAGCATTACCTTTATATGGAAGGCTTTGCCACCATGGTGCAGCGAATATTCGATCCTTGATATGGCTGTACCTGTGCCAAACAATGCACATTTAGAAGAAGGTTTCCTCTGCTCTCCACAGACCTATAACTACAAAAATTGTTATCAATTATTTTGAAGAAAATAGTACCCTACGCAACAGGTCCTAGAGACTTAGGCTCTCTTTCTGCTGATGTGGTTGCAACTGCCAGGTGTGCTGCAATACCACATGGCAAGAAGCACTTTTCTTTTAAAGAGGCAGGAATTAAAATCCTTCTTCTGATGGAGTTTCTTTTGTGTTGACAGCAACAGCAGGGATTCATAATCCCTGGATATTTGTATTCACCCATCTACTGTCCTCAATGCAAGGGCAAGTCTGGCCTGTTAGAAAGGCTTTTTTAACTTTTGACCCTGTCAGGTATGTCTGGTTCGCTCTCAGCTCTGAGACCAGCTGGACAGTTCCCTGTGTGTCAGAGAATCAGACCCCAGGCTTTAGTAGAGAGGCTAACATCTCTGTGGATCAGAATCAATTGTCCTTGACAATGACAATATTGTATAAGCATCTACATTCATCCATGAGCTATATGAGTTCTGGTTGTTATCTGAAGTATGCAACAGGGTGCTGTAGGTTTATTCAGAATATTACAGCACGTGTCTTTAAACCCAGGAGCTTCCTAGCAAGTCTCAGCTGTCAGGTCAGGTACTTCCATGAAGGGATGTGGGGAGAGACTTCCACACTGAGACACCAGCTAGACACAAGCTATCAGTGAACTCTCCTGCCTTCTCCAGATGCCTTTGGTGTCACTGTGATGGACCCCCACACATACCTCAATCCATACATGTGGAGAGGGCTGCATGGTGAATATAGAGATAAGCCATGTTTTTCTCTCAGGCTTACTGGGGAAAAACTGGGGCCGTTGTGATGAGCAGACCCAGAGAATCCTTTATCTCTCTACACCCAGCCATATAAGAAAGACTAATACTTTTGAAAAAGAAAGTATGTGGAGAGCCAGAGTGCCAGCCCCTCACTGGATACTTTTCTTTTGAGTTCTTGGTATGAGCACTAAGTATTTTAGGTTCCCTACCCCACATTAAAACTCCAGTAAAGACATTCCTCAATGATGTGGCTGGTCATTGTTTAGCAGACACCCCAAAGTCCCCGCAAGTTGGAGTCGTTTTCTCTCATTCACCCATATTAAGAAGAGGTTCTCCAGATGCAGAGACCCATAGCCAGATGTTAGGTGACACCGAGGGAATCCTGCTGAAGAACAGGAGAAAGGATTGTAGGAGCCAAAAGGGTCAAGAACACCACAGGAAAACTTACAGCATCAACAAATCGGGACTCACAAGGGCTATCAGAGACTGAACCAACAATCAGTGAGCCTACATGGGTCTAACCTAGGCCCTCTGGATATGTTCTAGTTGTGTAGCTTGATGTTTTATGGGACTCCTAAGAGAATGAGCAGGGCCTGTTTCTGACACCTTTTTCTGCATTTGAGACCTTTTTCCTCCTCCTGGGTTGCCTCATCCAGCCTTAATATAAAGAGGGGTTCCCATGGCAAATTTGATATACCGTGTTTGGTTGCTATCCCTAGGAGGCCTGTCTCATTTTGAAGGGAAACTGAGGAGGAATGGATGGGGAGGGGGATGAGAGAAAAGACTGAAAGGAAGGGATGGGGCAATCTGCAATCAGATTGTAGTATGGAAAGAACAAATTTAATAAAGTCAACAGAAGAAGCAGAAGAAGAAAAGAAAGAGGAGTAGGAGGAGGGGCAGGAGGAAGAAGGGGAGGAAGAGGAGGAGGATGTTTTCAGTCAGAATCCATGGTCCTGATGCAACCTGCCTCACTGAGATAGGTCTCATGTGTGGTGTGTTTTAGGGTACATGGGTATTACATGTACTTTTTTAAAAGTTAGTATGTACAGGTATCCATCCAGGTGCACATACATGTGTGTGTCTCTGTGTAGGCCTGGGGTCTACAATGGATCTCTTCTTTGTAGCAATTCACCTCATTTTTAAAGACACAGTAGTTCACCTAACCCAGAGTTCATTGATTTGGCTATGATTATCACATGCCAGTGAACCCCAGGAATCTGGCTGTGTCTGTCTCCTTGTCACTGAGGTTACAGATGTGTGCCACTGAGTCTGGCTTTTTATGTGAGGATTTGAACTCAGGTCTCCATGCTTGTGAGCAAGCACCTTACTGACAAGGTCATCTGCTTATTCCCTTGTTTAGGTCTTCTTACTCTAAAACCTATCTTTTAAGCATGGGTTGTGAATTGAGTGTTTCCTTTGCCCACAGAAACATTTTGATAATAAGTTTCATTTCAATAAACAGGCTCTTTAAAATATATATTCCTTGTGTTGTATATGTTTGCCTGTATGCATAGTGCTCATGGAGGCCAGCAGAGGGCACTGAATCTCTTGGCCCTGAAGGTACATGCAGTTGTGAGCTGCCACATAGGTGCTGAGAACAAAATCTGGATCTTCAGAAGCAAGTGCTCTTAACTGCCAAGCCATTCCTCCAGCTAAATAAGGTGGCTTATTTTTGACCCAGCACAGGGAGAAAAAAAATTACATTGCAAAAGTAATCAGCATTTGGTGAATTCTGGTAATGGTGATGAACTTATTAGAAATTAAAATGGCTTTGACGTACCCCTCCCAACCACAGGCTGAGCATTGGTTTCACCACGATGAAGCCTGTAGTGGCTTCCCAAGTCCTCACTGCTTACTAGCAATAGACGGCGTTCCAGACCAAATATCTCCCTGCCTGTTGCCTCTGATACCTTCATAGTTCCCCAAACCTTCCTTCAATTCATAGAGGGGATTTTTTTTTGATATGGGAAATAATTTCCAACTTTACATTCTGTTTATAATCGCAAGCAGCGGTTTTTAAAGAGTCAACCACAGTGAAATAGCTGCTATGGCCCACCCCCTCCATAACCTTACAGGAATACTTCCTACTGAGAAAGCATAGAGACTGGGTGGAAGCTGTGTCGTTGCAGTTAGAGATCTGACTATGTTCTCTTTTTTTTCTCTTTAGAACAAGACCAAAAGTTCAATATAATGGCTATGCTGGCCATGAAAACAGTAATGGACAAGCTTCATTTGAAAACCCCATGTATGACACAAACTTAAAACCCACAGAGGCCAAGGCTGTGAGGTTTGACACGACTCTGAACACAGTGTGTACAGTGGTATAGCCCTCAGTGCCCCCTAGGACCGATTCATAGCCATACCTCTGATGGACAAGCAGTAAAATCCTTTGGTGCCATATACCACCCCCCTTCTACTCTTGCCTTGCTGCAGCAACCTTGGCCATCGTCTGCTGGCATAACGCAGTGGGAATTTCCTCTGAATCACGACCGAGTCTTCTGAGGATCAAATTGTGAATACATCTTCATCTCGAAAATGGATTATCAAAGCCTGGCTGCTGCATCCACCAGAAATCAAGATACCGACAACGACGAGGGCAAGGAAGACTGCAGAGTCTTACAGACAGGTGGTACTTAATGCCTCTGACATTTGTGTCTCTGTGTGGCCAGGATGCCTTTGGATGTTGTCTTCTGAGCATACAGATACATCCTTCAGGTGCGGCAACAAAATGGTAGCAGATATGTGTTTTGTGTTTTTCTTTTCTTTTTATCCCTATTCACTGGACATGAATTCTTTACAAAAGTAAAGCCTTCCTGGAGAAGATACCTTCTGGAAAATGCACACACGTACACTTGCTTCACTCTGCCCTGCCTGAGACATGAGCTCTGCGGATCTACAGGCTCCACTGGGCATCCATCAATTACTAGGGATGTTTGCAGATCTCACAGTCAGAGCTGCTCCATCCCAGAATTCTTGATGTTCAACATTTTGCACTAGTGTGTTAAGAACGACTAAGTCTAATTTCTAAACAAACTATTTCCACAGGGTTTGTATTCACTATACATTGTACATAAGCATCCTCTCATATTGCATTCTCAAGCAAAAGATGCCACCCTCAGTTGAGTTGGCATGTAAAGGAAAGTATCCCCAGATACAGCACAGATTTTGAAAGGGAGATAGTACTAGTATGCTGAAGAAGTTATATTTTTATCACTTCTGTTGGCCACATTTATGTGTCAGATCCATTGCCTACTCCCGGTGGTAGAAATGAAGCCACATATTCCCTTTGATTTCTCCCCTTCTTGTGCATACAACTATTGTCTACAGCATACTGATCAATAACAGGGGGCTCCAGAAATGTCCATCTTTCCATGTACAGTTGTGAATAGTAATTTATTTTAGGTAGCTCATGAACTCAGTTCACAGTGCAGTCTTCCCCTCTGGATTGTTGTTTCCTTTCTCTGTTCTGTAACATCACCCTCCCAGAATGCATTGAGACACTTATCTCACAGCCACACCCAAGCTCAGAGGAATCAAAAGGGAAATCAAAGTCCAAATCAGAATCGGAAGGGCAGGCGCCGCTCGCACACCCTCATGATGATCTGTTTTATAGATTATTTGCCTTTCTTGCAAAAAAAAAAAAAATCATTTCAGTGATTTTTGAAACGTTTAAAATTCTTTACTGATAGACTATCTATTATGATATGTAAGATAGGTGGTATGGCCAACAGGGGTAAAATAAACAGCCTGAAGACAAGGCAGGGCCAGAGAAATGTCTGTAAGAAATTCAAAGAGAAGATCATGTTTATTTTTATTTATATTTGTTTGATAAAAGTATTTTTGGAAATATAATGCTTATTTTATTATTTGACGTTTCATGCACAGTTCATGTGGTAAAAATCCCCCCTTTGCACATCCCAGGATTTGCACTGATAACATGGGTCAGGATGTCATGCTGACGTTCTGTTTGCTGTGGTGACTACGTTCATGCCTAGCTTTAAGACAGGTGGATCTGTCTATCTACATGATGTTTAAATTCAGGACTTCCCAGAGGACAGTGGGTAAAGGAATATTGGCTTACGGCTTTGGAAGTTCAGCATTCTGAGCATTCCAGAGGCCACACTGGGCTCCCTCTTTGCAGCCAGCTCTTCTTGCAAGGGCTGTCTGTTGTGTCAGGACTCCTGACTTCTTCTGTTGACACTCTATCCACTGGGGTTCATATTTAAGACTCCATGTCCCAGGAAGGAGTTTTGACATAGGTTCCTCCAGCCAAGCCAACACACATCCATGGCATTCTTCTGGGTCCACAGAGGTTCTTCATTGGCTCCCTGGGAAATTCAGATGATGTCAGCAAGAGTGTGCTTCTAACCACACATTGAGCCAAAACGAAAACCGAGAACATCAGAAGGTCCACAGACCAGAGTGCGCAAGGGAGAACAGGGTTACTATATATATTAATGTATATAAAAACACACACAAAAACATATATATATATATATATTGTACATATCTAAGTTTGAGTCATTCAGACTAGGTGCAAAATGCTGACTTTGGAGTCTAAACTAACGTCTCTTGTCCCCACATCCCTGGCCTGTTTGCTGGCCAGTTACATTAAGAAGACTTGACTCAGATAGGGCATACATACATGCAAGGAGCCACATCATCAGACCAGTGTCGTTTTCCTTTGTGTGCAAACTGACTTACAGCTACCAGACTGCATCATGATATTTAAAACCAACATACAATATTGAGCGGCACACTCAGTTGAGAGCCTAGCTCAATTCTTCCTATGATGTGTGTGTGTGTGTGTGTGTGTGTGTGTGTGTGTGTGTGTGTGTGTGTGGTGTTTCACCAGGTCTCAGAGGCATTGAAGACCTAGCAGGACAGTCAGGAACACCTTCCTCAGTGAGGTCTCGACTTTTCCCTGAAGCGCCCAGAGCACAGTGAGGAGACACGCTATGAGTGACAGATTACATGTGCTTCGAAGCTGTTCAACTGTTGCTTGTCTTTGCCCATCTTGCCTTCAGGCTAGCTGCAATAATTTTTTTCTTCTGTAAAATATTTTGTAAACAATAACAACAACAACAACAAAAGCTATTAAAAAGGGAGAAAAGAAAGCTGGCATTATGATCAGGAAAACCATCCATTCTCGCTGTCCCACCCTCCCGTCTCCTCCACACGCTGCTGTCACAACGTAGGTGCGGAAGACCTTTTTGTACAGAGATATATTTTTTATGAAGAATTTGTAAAATTATTAAATATGCTGTAATTTTTTGATTAATGTAGGTAAATTGTTAAAAAAAAATAAATGTTTTTACAATGCAAAACTGTAATTTTCCCGATAATGTAACGTTACCCTCTAGCTGATTTTCAGTTCCCATCCTATTCGACATGTATTAATATTAAGGCGGCCTGTTAAAACGAACAGTATCTTTTTGTCAAAAAAAAAATTATAAAGAGAGTGTAACATAACCTGTGTAATGCCACCTATCTTTAAAGCAAATCAGAGTTCTAATTAAATATTTAATTTTAGATTTCTATTTTCGTGTGGATTTATTTTAGCTTTACCATATACAAAGAAGTCTCTGGCAGGGGAGAGACCGAACAGAAGTGTTCTGAATAATCCTTTATAACATTAAGAATAAAGCTCTATCTTTTCCCAAGCCAGTGGCATCATGGGCACCATGAGTAATTAGCACACGAGGCTGGGGAGATGGCTTGGGTGCTTGCCATACAAACATGAGGACCTGAGTTTGATCCCAGCATCCCTGTGAAGAAAGCAAGTGTGACAAGGTTGAAGGAATAGTCTTGAGTTTTGCCTCTTCAATTGGGAAGGTTTTTTTGTGTGTGTGAACTTTTACAACTCCTAGAGGTGGCATGTCAGAGGATACAGATGCCTATAACAGTACATCAAGCACCACTCCAGATAAAAACTCAGCAAATAGCTATCTTTACTGGCAGCATGTCACCACAGAAAAATCCTTGTGTCCTGGCTTCTGGGCTGAGAGATCAGGACATATCTAAGCTGTCACTGGTAGACTCACTAAATATTCACCAGGTAAGTAGGATGGAATAATAATTTCCCTGGGAGTCAAGTTATTAAAAAATGAGTAACAACCAATAATGAGAAATACTCCACACACAAGCTCCCCATTAAAAAAGCTTGGGTGGCCACTATTCATCCACTCCAAGGCTCTCTGTGTCCTTGATTGTCCATGGCTGCAATGACTGGGGATTGACTGTACTAGAGACTGGAATAGCTTGTAGAAACTATTAATAACACTCAGTGATCAATGCAAGGTGGTCTTTGCCATTCTGATATGATAGATAAAGAAGCAAGAATTCAGAGACAACTCCCTGTTCACAGACACATGTATGGGCACATCGGTAGACTCAGCGAAAGGTAAGTTTCTTTAGCAATGATATTCTTATTTTTCACCACAAACATCACACTCTTTAACTTCGTCGTCCCCTCGTTTGGCAATTAATTTTTTGTTCTGAATGTCTCTGTTACTCTATTTGGGAATCTTTCCCCACTTTAGCTGGTTGTAATTGCAAATTAAAAACCCTAAGGGGGAAACATGTTTGTTTTTGGAGTTCATAGCTCTTACAATTCATGCTGTGCCCCTCCAGGGCCATCTGATGGCCAAGGTGAAGTACAGCAGCTCTGCCAGGGCCTGCAAGTGTCACTACAGGTAAGGCACAGCTCTTTCTTTTACTTAATTTTCTACCAGCACATCTTGGAAGTTACCTATGAATTATAAAATGCCTCCTACTTCTAGAATGTTCTTCCTGGGCAGGAGTCCCTATACAAGGTAGGTCTTCTAACAGCTGTTGAAATTGAACCAAGAAGCTTGTTAGTTCTGTACTCATGGCTGATTTTTCAAAGTACTTTCAGATTGGGAACACAGTCCTGGGGTATACCTGTAACAGAGAGACCACAGAATGTCTGAAGTCATGGTTCTCAGAGAAAAGTTCAGCCTGATAGCTCTCTGCCTTGATGGGTGTGTTTTTATAGGGGTATAGTGTTACTGTGATAACTAGGAACTGAGACAAAGCAAACCATAACAACATCCACAGCTCTGCAAAGCAATGACTTTGCAAATGCAGCAAATTTCTTCTTTCGGTATCAGTAGTACTCATTAATCCCTTAGCACCTATCTCTCTGATGACAATGAGCTTAGGCATCTATGACTGTTTGCCACCTGTCCCAGGCCAGGGGTGATAAAACGTGTATTACCTAGAACAGTGTCCCAGTAACCAGAGCATGAGTCACACATAGTGCAGACATAGCATGTCTAGCTGAATTTATCCCATATACCCATTGCAATGGCTCCTCCTGACTATACTTGACTACATATGGAACTAAATATCCAAACTGGAGGTCACACCTGTGAAGGACTTTTGCTTACTTTGAAGTAAGAAGATCCACTTCAAATCCTGATCTTTAAAATCAGAAATCACACATCTTTAATCTGGATCTTTTGAACTAAGAACATCTCTAATCTGGGCCAGATCTTCTGCTGGAAGTCTACCTAAGACCCTGGGAAAAGGAGACTTTTGCTCTTTGCCTGCTTCTCTTGTTCTGTTAACAAGTCCATTCCTTCACTTCTTTGGGATTCCAGCATATACTGAAGACCAGCTGAGACATCCAGACTTATGGACTGAACAACAACTAGATTCTTGGACTTTCTATTCACATCTAGACATTGTTGGATTAGGTGGATCACAGCCTGTAAGTCATTCTAATAAATCCCCTTTCTGTAGATGACAGATAGATAGATAGATAGATAGATAGATAGATAGATAGATAGATAGA